TTTTGCAATACAATGTTCATATAGGAAGATAGCTTGCATATGGAATTATAAAAATAGTACTGTTTGCACTAATACAGTTGGTCATTAGGAGGGGACTAAAGACTTTAAGCAGAAGGAAAGAAGTATCAAATAATACTGGGACTTACATAATATTCAAAACACTGTAACAATAGAAATATTAAAAGATATTTTTGAAGAATGGAGCCAGAAGTCAACTTCAATATTAACTACAATATTAATACTGTGATATGAGTAACAATGTTTGCTTTTATAGATGTGTCTAAAAGAAGTTAATTAAAGAATGACAAATATGGAAACAATTTATCTGATAAGATAGATAAAGTACAAAACATGGAACTACAAATGACAGGCCAAGGAGTGATTCAGAAAAGTATGCTTTACTGGATATACCAAAGAAACTGGCTGAAGTTGTTAAAAAGAGAAATTCAAAGGATAAAGAGAATGCTCTGGAAAATGGTTTCTTACTGAGCTACAAAAGAAGCTCATTAAAACCTGGGCAATGGGGTAAAGAATTGAAAAAAATAAAATCCTATGACAATATTTGATTGAATTAAATATGTTATTGATTGAAATAAAACTGTTAGAAGTAAAAGGGAGGAATATAAATTTGGTTTATTTGATCAATGTTAAAATAAAACATTTTGTTACAATGTTCTGGCAATGCCTTATGGATTTTTTGCTGACATGAGAATTGAAAAGCTGATGCTATAAGGATGTTCTTAAAGATAAGGAATGGGATATGTGATGAAGAGACATTTTTAATCTTATAGGAAGTATAATTAAATATATTTATACATTAATTTATACGTTTAATGAGTTGAAATCACTTTTTATCACTTTTTTATATTTCTTTTATTATATTCTCATTTCTTTTTCTTCTTTCTTATTTTTCTTGTACTTTTTAGTTTTTCTTTCCATTCTCTCCTCTTTCTCTAAATTTAGTTTTTATTGTTTTTTTACTATTGTAATTAAAATTCTTAATAAAAAGTTATGTTTTTTAAAAAAAGAGTCATAGTATTTTTCTTTCTCCTTTTTCCTATTTCCTTCAACTCTTAATTAGCTCCATAACCTTAATTATCTAAAACAACTTGCAGTTTTTCAAACTAGTATGCCGACTCTGATAGGGTATAGTATTTAACCTCATAACCAGACACAGACACAACCAAACACATACTGGCTGCTTTAGATAGGAAGCAGGAAAAGCCCAAAAAGGCAAAATTAAAATTAAATTCTTCTCTACTTTTCTTCCCAAGTCAAGGTTCAGAAAGAAAATTTCTCTGTCAAGGTATGGATGGAGGAATCTACCAAATTGGCTGTTCGTCATGGGCAGGCAAAGTAACAGAGATTGTAAGGGAAAGGCTCAGGGATCTCCATGTGAGGAGACGCCAACAGTTGGCCTCTCCATGTGATGAGAGGCCAACAGAACACAACCCCCTGTACAGGTGTAAGCACATATTCCGCTACAGCACACTGTATATACTGTTTCCAGATTATCAGTTCTATGAAAAGATACCCCAGATCCCTTTCAGCAGAAAATGGAGCTTAAAAGTGGGATTTGACATAGACGTAAAGCAATTGAAATGAGAAACAATGATAAACAATTTCTGACAACAGCAGAGTAGTTCATAGCAGATCTTCCTGACAGCCCATTTTTTACTTCATAACCAAAGAATAGTATTTGGCTTTTTTAAAAAAAATATGCACAGGCATAACTGCAAAGGACAAGGAACATATTATTTATAAGGTCAAGAAACTTATTATTCCATGAGTATCACCGAACCTAACTTTGCAGTAAAGCTGAAAATCTCCATGAGAAAATTCTCCACTGAAATACGAGGGGATCAAAAACCCAGAAATTAGTACAAAGAAGGAATTATCTTCTTTAATTTATTGTATAAATATTCAAGTAAATGTATAATTTAATGAGGCAAGTCACTTTTTCATTAAACTCAAAGAAAAGATTTCATAACTATAGATTCATGGAAACTTTACTATAAAATTTAATTTCCCAGTAACAATGAGTATAAACAGCTTAAACTGCTTCAATTTATTTCCAATTCATGGTAATCCCATTAATTGCAATAGGTCCATTTAATATTCATATTCATTAGCGCAAACAAGTCTACTTTCCAGTTAGCCCAAGGAAGCCATATGCTAAAGAATAGTGATTGTAAAGACTGAGCTTGGAGTTCATTTCCCTTATTCTGTTTCAGCCTTGCAATGAACAACAATTAATGTTTAATATGTTTTAGTTTGCGTTTTCCTCTGCAGAGGAACAACTCTAAATATGTTTCATATTTAGCCACAGAGTTAAATGCTCTTTACTATAGCAGTGCTCTGTTATGCTGGTGGAATCTCTACAGGTTCTTAAGTGAGAGTCTTTTCAAACCCTGACAGCTAATACAATTTGAGGGGAACTGCCAGGGATCCATATAAGGGAGTCATTATGCATCCAAAATATTATTTTTCTACTAAGTTTTGGGTTGGGTCCCAGCAGCAGAAAGAAGTACAGGTACATTTTAATCTATATTCCACATGTTGCTTTAGACAAAGGAAAGAAGAAAGTACTTCAAACTCATGGAAACAATAGACTCTGGAAAGGCAAAAATATATTTAGATGAAGCATATCTAATGCCAAAGGGGTTGAAGCTTGGACATAAACAATTATTTCCTCCTGCTTCTCCTGATGAAAAGAGAGCATAATAAACAATCCTGTTCAGTTCTCTTCCCTTAAAATGCTTGAAACTGTTTAAACTTCCTTTTCCCATAGAACACAGGTAGTCCTTGACTTACAACAGTTCATCTAGTGATCATTCAAAATTACAATGGCACTGAAAAAAGTAACATGACCCTTTTTCACACATCCGAGCATTGCAGTATCCCCCTAATCACATGACCAAGATTCAGACGCTTGGCAACTGGTTCATGTTTATGACGGTTGCAGTGTCCGGGGGTCATGTGATCAGCTTTTGCAACCTTCTGACAAGCAAAGTCAATGGGGAAGCCAGATTCACTTAACAACCAAGTTACTAACTTAACAACTGCTGTGATTCACTTAACAACTGTGCCAAGACAGATCATAAAATCGGGCAAAACTCACCTAAAAAATATTTCACTTAGCAACATGAATTTTGGGCTCAATTGTGGTTATAACTCAAGGATTACCTGATTCCAACTGTTTTGCTGAGATGATTTCTCTTTCAACATCGAAGAAAAGAATCATTCTACATCCACACCAAGCTATTCTGTCTAATATACAATTTGTGGTGGTAAACATGTGAGCTGCATTCATCATTAACCCTACAATATATCTCCCCATATGTGTGAAGTCCTTTTTTATCATCCCAGCAAATGGACGACTGGTGACAAGGGGGAGAAACAGACAGCAACCAATGGCCCAAGAAACCACACCCTTTGTATTTATAATTCAACTCTGCAGGCCAAGAAATCCTTCTTGTCCCCTCTTGCTCCTGTCGAAACAAGAACTGCACCAGAATGCCTACTGCTATATCTCCAGCCATTTTGCTCCCAGATAAGAAAGTAAATTCAGATTAGCAGCCCTGAAAGACACATTTCTTTTCTGTGAATTGTACACATGTATTTTATATGAGAGATATCTTGTTAGGGCAGGTGAATCAAAAGATAGAAACAAATCATATTTAGAAAATCTATCCCCAGTTGAAATAGATACTAATGTACTACTTGTACAAGAGAGCTGACAAAGATGAGTATCTTTGCAAGGAATCTGTTTTGAATGTTTCATGAATCATGCATTTTTTAAAAAAGAATTCCCACCTCTTGGATTTGTTGGAACAATATGCATGGGCCATCTCTCTTTGGTTTTGTGACAGATTCTAAGGGTATTAGCCTGACTGAAAAGGTAGCTTTTACTTTTCAGGAGGCAGGCATGTTTATTCCGCTAACACATTTATTGAATGAGAAAATGGGTACACTTTATGGTGATCCTTCCCTGTATCCTGAAAGACAGTAATGTCAGTTCAGCATCCATGTACATCAGCTGATTCTGTTAGGAACCTGAGTGACATACCATATTTTTCGGTATTTTACTTCCCCCCCAAAGAGGGTGAAAATTTGGGTGCGTCTTATACACCGAATGTAGCCTCGCCCACCCGCTGGCCCCCACCCTTTGGCCTCTGCCTCCCAGCAATTTACCTCCTTGCAGCAAACAGCAAAGAGCCCGTTTCAGCTTCAGCACAGCCTGATTAGCACAAGCAGCTGATTGTCGGTTGGATCGGCCTCCAGACCCTCAGCTGTTTCAGGCTGCAGGGATTGCCATTGCCTATTGCCACAAGAGCCTTCGCTGTTTGCTGCAAGGAGGCAAATTGCTGGGAGGCAGAGGCAGAATTTTTTTTCTTGTTTTCCTCCCCAAAAAGGTAGGTGTATCTTATAGTCCGGAGTGTTTTATACTCTGAAAAATACGGATACTCTGGATACTCTGTTGAGTATAGGTAATTACAACCATTCATTTAATAATCTTTCAAAGTTACAACACTGTAAAAACTGACTTACAACGGATCCTCACACTTGTGACTGTTGCAGTGTTCCTACAGTCACATGATCAAAATTCAGTTGCCTGGCAACCAACATGTATTTTTTATGGTTGCAGTGTCCTGGGGTCATGTGATCATCATTTGTAACCTTCCCAGCCAGCTTCTGACAAGCAAAGTCAATGCAGGAATGGGGGAAGACAGATTTGCTAGATGACCATGTGATTTACTTAATAACTACAGTTATTTATCTAACAACTGTGGCAAAAAAGATTGTTAAATAAGACGTGACTCACTTAACCATTGCCTTGCTTAGCAATGGAAATTCTGGTCCCAATTGTGGTAGTAAATTGAGGGCTACCTGTACTCTTTTGTCCTTCATGTTTTAGAGAAATGCAGACCTTAATGACTGTGTGTGTATATGTGTGTGCATGTGCCCCTTTGTTCAGCCAAGCCTTTTCTTCTTCTTACCCTGTTGGAGTCAATTCTTGCCCTTGACGTATATACGGGTGGAGGAATATTAAATGCCTGAGGGACAAGATATTCTTCAGCATCCATCATGTCTTCCAGGTCTCCCTCATCCAGCAGATTCTGGAAAAATTTGCTGTCATTTGGGCTTGGTAGCTTCATACGATCATCACCCTGTACAATGTCCCATTGATAGAAAATTAAAAATAATTACTCTGATGATCACATCAACCATCTATCTGCTTGGCTGGCAGAAATCAATGTTATCAACTATCACTGGAGGTTTTAGACTGGACAACTATTTGACTGGTATGACTCCTGTTGTGAGGAGGCAGTTGGGCTAGAAGACCTGTGATGTCCCTTCCAGCCCTGTGATTCTGTGATTCTATGAATCTAGCTATATTATATTCTTTCATACTTCTCCTTATTGAACACCCTTGTTCTTTCCACAAAAAGCAAAAACAATTTTAAAAAACTTATTCAATAGTATTCTTTCCAAAGTATCAGGATTATGTCAATGCCAAATCAAACTCTTTTACCAATAAAAGTATTATGGAAAGGGGTAATCCCTGCAAGAGATGGTGAGATGTTACTACTTTCCTAAAATACAACTATTGCAAGGTGAATTATATGCCTAACTGTACAGAAAGAGAAGCTTGTAACAGCCTCATAATGGATGTTTGTTTTCTATATCAAGAGAACTAGTGGCTTGCAATAGTCTATTTATGGGAAGGGAAAAGTAAACATCTCTGCTCTATAGTGGCAAACCTGCTTTGCAGATTAAGTCTCTAGCATCTCCAGTGAAATCTACTAATAGATGCTAGAGAAAATCTTTGTCTGAAATCTTTGAGGGACGCTTTCATTCAGTTTACTATTCTAAGCTAAATGGCAAATAATTAATGTCATGTAGGGCAGCTTCTTTATCCCGTTAGAATTCTTCATCATGGCTTTTTGGTTTAAAGGAATATAATTCTAATAGGTAAAAGTTAATCTGATTTCTCACCTGAATTTTGAATAAAATAACTTTTTTTTGTTTGCAAAGTAGGAAATCTATTATTCTAGCAGTGGGCTTTTGACTGTTTTAACTTTCTTTTCTGTGTTCCTTGGGGAATCCTGGGATTGCTGAAACTGTCTTTATCTGTCACACTGATATCATCTTGCTCCCAGGCCTCACTCTTTATCTTTTGAGGTACTGGAACAGAAATGCTAACTTTGGGGAATGTGTAGAATATATGTTACTTGAGTCCAAAATTGAAAGTATTCAAGCTACCAACCATTCTTGATGTATTTTAACAAATTAGTGTACTGATATTCAGGCTTTTCATTTAAAATAATCTGTACTAGCACTGACCAGAACAGTCTCTAAAGGAGGAAAGAAAATATGTTCTTTTTTAAACTTTAATGCACATTATTTCCAGAGTTAAAAAGCTTTTGCTGAACAGAACTATATATTTTTAATAGCTAGCTTCCTATTAGTAAAAATATTCACTCTATTGCTGCTGTTAATGTTTATAGAAGAACCTGATATATTTATGAAAAAAATTAATGCATATGCTAATTGTAAGGTGAGTACAAATATAGCACATCCAGAATATCTAGAGATAGAAACAAGTTGTTTTCATCTTGCTAGAAGCATTCTGTGGCCATTCCAACCATCCTCAGAGTATTCCAATCTTGAAAGATCCTTGTTTTAAGCTCAAAATTATTAATAGATGTACAAAGAGAAATTGGGTGAGAATTAAAATATTTCATCTTACTGCAATATGGGGCAATCTTTGTTGTTCTGCCTAATAATAAAATAAACACAAAAATAGCACAGGAGAAAAATAACCCACCATAGCTAGCTCTTCAGCTGAGACAGGAAAAGGAGGTTTGCTGATCTAATACATATTTGTAACTAACCTTAGTGTAGCTAACCTTGGTGAGGCAAATAAACATGTAATGTTTATGTCGACCAGCCTCTTATCTGAACCACCTTCATGAAGGTGAGCATATTCAAATGCCCTGATTTGAGCTACAAATATATCCTACATTATATAGAGGATATTTTGAAAGCATTGTGATTGACAGAACTACTAAGGTTTTTTTTGCAATTGGCTTTTAACACAAAACGGCATATTTCATTTTCTACTAAATAGAACAGAAGTAACGTATGCCCCAATTTATCTGTTTTCAGTCACTTGAGAACACTTCATCTACTCTCAAAATCCAAAACAGTGATAGAGACTGTTCTGAAAATGCATAGACATTTCAAAAATTCAAGGTTAAAAAACCACAAAATGCTGAGAAAATGGTTGCACAGTCATTATCAACCAGGAAGGAGCAGGAGGAGAAAGAAAATAAGATAAATTCAGGCCACTTACTTGAATGACTAAATATCTTTGAGGATCCCGAGCCATTCTAGAAAATTCAGCAGCCAGCTCCTTGAACTTGGGCCGACTATCAGCATCAATCATCCAACCTATGGCCATGTGCAAAAAGAGAGAAAAAGTGCTTTTGCTATAAGACTTCCTTTTTTCATAAATGGTTAATTAAAATAGTAATTAGAGAAGACCACTTTATTTCTAAAACTCAATTTGATCATGCCCTCAAATTTCCATTTTAAACATTATTATTCATTACATTACACTCTGTAAATCAACCATCTTATTTTTTAAAACCTCTTTCTAACCTCTTAACTAAATACATTCAGTAGGCTCTGACTTGCAATAAACATTGGTATAAGGTACATGCTTTTTTGCATATATTCTTTTTTCTTTTCTTTTTTACCGTTCATTCTACTTTACACATTATCACTATTGTTTGTGATTGCCTGCGTTATCTGTTCTGTAAAGCATTTTAGTTATTTCTCTCTCTGCTTGTGGCTGAGAGCTATAATGTCCATCTTCCAACTTCTGAATCCCAGTTTGAATCTGACAATTATATGTTCAGTTCCAGCTGCTATGTAGATTTTGGTTGTCTCTTAATATACCCATCCAGGTACATCTTTTAGAATCTTCTTTATATTGCAAGGAACAAATATCTTTAAAAATAAACATTTTTCAAAAGCATAAAGGCGGCTAAACATGACAACATGAATATCCATGAGTGTTGTTGTTTTTTTTACTGAATTTCATGCTGCCATCATTAATATTTCTGTGTATTTTTTAATGGTGACTCTAGCAATAGCACTTACACTTATATATTGCTTCACAATGCTTTATAGCCTTCTCTAAGTGGTTTACAGACTCAGCATATTGCCCCCAACAGTCATGGTCCTCAAATTACTGACCTCGGATGGATGGAAGGTGGAGTCAATCTTGAGCTGGTGAGACTCAAACTGCTGGTAGTCAGCAGAATTACCTGCAATACTGCATTCGAACCACTGCCCAAGCATGGCTCATATCTGTGCATATACAGCCTAGTTGGTATCTATGGCTGCTAGGGAAGCATTTGCCATGTGAAGAAAGTTTCTTTTTCCTGTCTCTTACAAAGCTTAGTAGAAATGGTTACTTTGCCCTACTTCTCTTCTGTAAGCCAAAGGGTACAAAGCATTACTAACAGATAGATTCTGCTTGGCAATAGGACCTAGTCCAGTGATGGCTAACCTTTTTGCCATCGTGTGCCAGGAGGGGGGGGCGGGGGAGGTTCACGAGCACACGTGCCCACACCATAATTCTATGTGGCCCACACTGTGCATACGCGCACAACCCCTCCCCCCGCTCCTGGCACATGATGGCCCGTTTCTTTCTCACCTGGCTCCAGATCCTCTCTGTGCATCTGGGGAGGGCGAAAACAGCCTTTCCCACTCCTCCGGTTGGCCCATTTCCCAACTCCCGGTGAGACAGGAAGTGACTTTTTTGCTGTCCCCAGCTTCTAGAGGCCTCTCTAGGAGTCTCTGGAGGCTGGGGACAGCAAAAAACGTCACTTCCTGTCCCACCAGGAGTTGGGAAATGGGCCCTTTCAGGCCTCCGAGGGAGTGCGAAGGGCTGTTTTCGCCCTTCCCAGATGCACAGACAGGATCTGGAGCCAGGTGAGAAAGAAAAACGGACCTTCCCCACTCCCCCAGGCCCTCCGGAGGCAGGAAACAGCCTGTTTCCCTACTTCTGGTGGGCCCAGAAGGTCCGAAAATCAGATGGCAGGTGTGTGCATGCACACCAGAGCTGAGCTGGCGTGCCCAGTGATATGGCTACATGTGCCACCTGTGGCATGCGTGCCATAGGTTTGCCTATGTCTATCTAAGAGCAAGCCTAATTGAAAATAGCATTGACATGCCTACAAATCTGTCATTGTTCAACAGGAAGTCCAAATACAATGAGTCTTACCTGCTTATTTAAAATCTCCCTTCTTTGTTTAGTTGGAATGCATGACTGACACCAAAGACAACTTGTGAAATTGCCTCTATATACAATCATATCTATGTTCTCAGATATTATAGGATCGCTCAGTGCAGTATAAAAATTAATAGGAAGAAATATGGATCCACTCCATATAGATTAATACTTCCCAAACTACGATCATGCAATTCATTCCACCAAAAGAGGGATGAACAAATCATCATGAGCATTTTTCTATTGCTCATAATACATTAATATGCCTCTCTTATTTTAAATGAATCAAAAAATTATTAGGATAACTTTATTAAGGAAACTGAGGAAAAAAGAATAATGAAACAACAGTGATGACAAGGCCTAATAATTTATTTTCAGAATCAGTATTTTTGCTATTTATTATCAATAAAACAATATATTTATTTGCACATTTCTAAAGCAGCTTACAATAAAAATCTTAGATTCAAATAGAATTTTAATTTCCAGTGCAAAGTGTGAAATTCTGGTCTAGTTTGTCTGACATGAATAATTCAGACTTGATATAAATCTTAGTCAACTGAAGTTTATGTCAGAAGAATCAATAAAAAACATTTATTTGCCCACTGAAATTATATCAACTAATATAATAAATAAAAGTTTTCAATGGACAAATAGTAACTTTTGTGGATGGATTTTCAATCACATGTAGTTCCACCTGCAGTCAGATATGTAGCAGGCAACAAGACAATTTATCATTGAAATGACAACTGTGTTGCAGTGTAAAGCTTCCAAAGGGGAAAAATGTATTTATTTTTGTTACTTACAACAGAATTCTAAAAAGTTATGCTCTTGTGAAAGCATGCATTTAAATTTCTTGTATTTAAGTCTACTCTGAGAAAAGCAGATAGAAGAACAAAAGATGAGATATTAACTGCTCCCAAGAGAACCCAAACTAAACTAACATTTCTCAGTTAATGGGTCCAGTTTACAGCCTCTACATTGACCATGATTTTAACTGACTCAAGGCCAAAATATCTCACATTAATTTTGGATGTTTTTACGTCTTCCTCATTCCCTGCACTATGTTATTATTTGACATTTGGGTTGATATCAATTATGGTTTTGCTTTTTTTTCTTTTAGCTTTCATATGCTAAAGACTTGATTATCATCTAGCATATAATACCAGAGCAGGAATTCTTCTTTTTCTTCTCCTTCTTCTTCTTCCACTTAGCCAGTATAAAGTTGATGCTTCCTATCCAATTGCTGTGCCCTGCTGCTACCATTCAACTCAAACCATTAGTGGGATCATCTTCTTTGTTTCTTATGATAATGTTTTCACCTGTATATGTGAGCAGCAAGCCACATGGAAAAAATGGCTGTTTGTTAATCTCATTTAAATTAAACCAGAAATACCACAGAGTATTTCTTAATTCTTTTAAAATTAAAACTGGAGCTCCAGGATTTATATCTTCTAGCAGCTGAACAGTTGGGGAGTGGGATGTGCCAGGTGAGAATCCAGATGCAAACATAAACAAAATAATTTGTCTCCAGATTCTCCTTGATTCTAATGTTCTCACAGAGATGCACTCTAGTTAGCATGACATATCAACATCTATAAATGGCTGGTTATACAAAGGAAAACTACACCCCCAAACTGGTTTTGTTTCATTAGATTTTTTATATTATAATTTGAAAAAATGTTAATCTCTTTACAGCTTTTCATATATGTTTCTAGAACAACATGAAATGTTATCATCTAATAAACCAGTTGTCATAGAAAGGGATGTCATTTGTCCGCAATGGATTTGATGCATGGCAATACTGTGTGATATTATCTACCAACAATAAGGATTCAATTAACACACGGCCCTTCAATCAGATTCATCTCCTTACAAACTTCAAGATGTTAAGGTATACTATTTGATTATAATTAACATAACTGCTTCAATGATGCTTCAAAATGGCCGCATTGCTACAAAGGATTTGTGACAGCCAGCTGCAAGGGAAACTCTTTCAGTAAAACTCGCCCATCCAAAAAGCTAGAATCAAATTAAAGTTACTCACATTTCACCATTACCATGTAAACATCAATGGTGCAGATAGGAGGCTGCGGTAACCGCTCTCCTTTCTCTAACAAGTCAGGAATATCTCTTGTTGGAATCCCATCATAAGGCTTTCCACCAAAGGTCATAAGTTCCCAAATGGTGACACCTAAAGCAAAAGTGAGAATTCTTACAATAGTCCATGCAAACCTGAAACACATAATCATTATAGGGGCAATTCTTGTTAAAAATATGCAAAACAGACTTTTTCCATGAGTCAAAAGATAAAATAGAAGACAAGTGTCCATACTGTACATGTATCACTTGGCATCCACTATCACTCAAGTATCTCTACTCCTTTTACTCATCCTTAGCACTTTCTTTGCCATTCCTTTCTCTTGAACAACGCTCCATGACATGAATAATTGAGCTTTTGCATGTTAAATCTTCTGAGCATTTTAAGCATTGCAGCACTGCATGGTGGATTGAGACCATAAATTTTAAAATCTGTATTTAATCTATCCTAACCTGAAACTGTAAGGCCATTGTCAAAATCAAGATATAAAAAATACATGAAACATATGTAAGGCCACTCTCTAAAGATCCCTTAGAAGGACTTTTCCTTTCTTGATCTTAGAGAAAGCTTAGATCTCAGAGAGAAAATCTAATGTTGGATATCACTTTCTGATTCCTGGAAATCTTCTGAGGCTTTCTTTCCAACATTTTCTTTCCAACACTTTTAACACTTTCACGTTAAAAGAAAAAACCCAAAGGAAAGCATTCATCACAATCAATCAAATTTTTATTATGGTCAAAGCCCATCAAAAGGAGGATGGTCAATTAAAAAGCATAAAAATACATGAGATTATAAAAAATAATTATTTTAAAAAGCTAAAAAATATAAAACGGAAAAGTATATATAAAAACAAATATGTAAAAAGAATCTAAAAGGAGGGGTAGGAGCATTAGTTGGAGGTAGGAGAGGATAAAGTCTGTATTTGCAGACTAAATCTATTACAGTAGAGAGCACTCTTAGAATGATGAACTAGATGCCCATTAAGATTAGTTTATGGCACAGGCTATTATCTGATGAATTTTAAACACTGCTGTGTAGAACTTCACAACATTACATGTTGTAGCAGATTAGTATCTGAAACAACAGGGAGGTGTAGAAATGTCCTATGTACCCTGTGCAATATTGGTGAGATGAGGCTAGTATGAATGTTTCTGTAGTATAGGCACTATAGGAGTACATGTTCTGTTGTTTCCACATGTCCAGAGTTGCAGGGTCATTGCCTCTCTGGGTAGGGAATCTTCCTGTATTAGCCTTCAAGAACAGCTGAGAGAAGGACATGACATCATGTCAGAGCAAAGTTACTTCTGGTTAGGTACTTTGAGCTTAGTATACCATAGAGAAGGCAGTGTACCTATAGGATTCATCGGCAATAACGGCTGGGGATTTGACTAGACCCAATTGGCACTCTGTGTCGGCTCCCCAGTGTTTAATGAGAGCCTGATTGTATCCATTTCTGAATAGAAGATCTGGCGAGAAGCCCAAGGGTGAGATTTTAGTTGTCACTGTCTTTTTCTATGTGAATGAAAATCATCCTCATTGATAATGAGGCAAGGCCAAGGAGAAAAGAGAATAGTTTGAGCCAGTAATTGAGTATGGAATATAGCCACCCATATTCTAGCATTCACTTTCACAAGTCCTGTCTCTAGTCTCAAAGTGCCATTAGAGACACATGTCTCTAATGGCACTTGAAAAGCTGATCTTAAGAAATTTAGATTGAACAAATGCTAGTATAAAATAGTAGCATCATAAAGACATTGTGCTAGTTGCTTGGCTCTGAATAATTTTGAGTGCTGAAGGAGTATGGAATGGATCAGTGGTGGGTTCCAACTGGTGTTACCACCGGTTCTCTTCGCGCTTGCGCTTTGCGCACAATCAGCTGAATAGGTTGTAAAAAAATGCTTTAAAAAAGTAAAAAAAAAAAGTTGGCCACACCCACCCAGTCACATTACCCCCCCCCACCAAGCCACGCCCAGAGAACCGGTAGTAACAAATTTTACATTTCACCACTGATTGAGACGTATAACAGGAGGCAATACAAGGATTATCAGAGGCAAGGAAAATATAATTTGAAGTGAGTGAATGCTGAGAAAATTACTAAAGAGGCCAAAGGGAGGGAGAGGGAGTAATTGCTATTTTTGTCTCTTTGTAAGTAAATAAGCAAACAAAGTTGACCTAAAATTATTTCTTTTCTAATTCAGAGCATAAGATGTTATTAACCACATTTCCATTTATTAAGAACAAATGAGACCTACATATTTTTTGCTTTATTGCAATGATAATTTAAAATATGTCATTAAGCAAGGAAGCACATCTTACAAAGCATCACATCTAGCAAGCTGTCACATTTAACTTCCAGAAGCAACACAACCACATATACATAAACATACAAACACACTAGGATTTCTACGAATTTATATAATACATTCATTATTCATCTTTCCCTAGCATGATAAGCTATATTTTGCTTGGATTTATTGAGTTCCACTGTACACTGTACACTATCCTCAAGTTACAGGTACAACATGCAAGCCAGGGGGAGAGGAAAAGCCTGATCTGGAAAGAGTCTGGGTGGAGTGAGGATGGAAGACCTTCCCCATAATGGACCATTGGTGTGAAAAGGCTAGCCTGTTAAGAAGAAAAGACCAGGTGCCAGGGGCTCTTTCTGAGAGAATGTTTGCTGTAAGCAGAAAGCGTAGAAGGTGGAGCAGGAGATATTGAATACTGTAAGAGTCAAGAAAAGAGAAAAGCAGAGGAAAAAGGCTTCTTTCTCACAGTCAGAGGTATCACAGAGGTGAGGATAAGCTGACGTGGGATAACAAACATCCTGCCTTTCTGAGATCAGGCAGGAAAAGGATACTGAAGAGCCTACTGTAAAAATAAGAGAAAGGAGGCTGACCAAGATATGCCATGTTTCTTTTTGGGTTTTTTTTTCATTCTCAATATACTGACATAGGGGACGGATGGGCGGACACACATTTATTTATTTATTTATTTACTTTTTAAATTTTTATACCGCCCCCTCTCCCGAAGGACTCGGGGCGGTGAACAGCCAAAATTAAAAACACACAATACAAATATTAAAATACTTTAAAACGAAATTAAATTTATCTTTGGCTTCCCCAATTTAAAACCCCTTACCCATAAAATTCCCAATTAAAAGATTTTTAACCCAGCCCGGCTTGCTGAAATAAAAAAAGGCCCGGCGGAAGGTACAGAAGTCCGGGATCAGTCGTATCCCTGGGGGTAGCTCATTCCAGAGGGCGGGTGCCCCCACAGAGAAGGCTCTTCCTCGGGGGGTCACCAGCTGACATTGCCTGACAGACGGCACCCTGAGGAGGCCCTCTCTGTGGGAGCGTATTGGCCGGTGGGAGGTTATCGGAGACAGAAGGTGGTCTCGTAAATAACCGGGCCCTAAATCATGGAGCACTTTGAAGATGAGAACCAATACCTTGAAGCACACCCGGAAGACCACTGGAAGCCAATGCAGCTCGCGCAGGAGAGGTGTCACGTGGGAGCACCATGTCGCCCCCATAAGTACCCGCGCGGCTGCATTCTGCACCAGTTGGAGCCTCCGAGTGCTCCTCAAGGGGAGCCCCATGTAGAGAGCGTTGCAGTAGTCCAGGCGGGAAGTAACAAGGGCATGAGTAACCGTGCATAAGGAGTCCTGATCCAGAAAGGGGCGCAACTGGCGTATCAGGCGAACCTTATAGAAACCCCCCCTGGCCACGGCCGTCATATGCTCTTCTAAAGACAGCCATGTGTCCAGGAGGACACCCAAGTTACGCGCCCTCTCCGTGGGGGCCAATGTCTCACTCCCAATAGTCAGCGATGGCACCAGCTGACTATATCGGGACGCCGGCAGCCACAGCCACTCAGTCTTGGAGGGGTTGAGTCGGAGCCTGTTCCTCCCCATCCAGACCCGCACGGCCTCCAGGCACCGGGACATCACTTCAAGGGCATCGTTGGGGTGGTCTGGGGTGGAGATGTACAGCTGGGTGTCATCAGTGTACAGATAGCACTGCACCCCAAAACCATGGATGATCTCGCCCAGAGGCTTCACATAAATGTTGAACAGGAGAGGCGAGAGGACCGACCCTTGTGGCACTCCACAAACCAGGTGCCTTGAGGTCGACCTCTGCCCTCCAGCCAACACGGACTGCGACCGGTCGGAGAGATAGGAGGAGAACCACCGTAAGACAGTGCCTCCCACTCCCAATCCCTCCAACTGGCGCAGCATGATACCATGGTCGATGGTATCAAAAGCTGCTGAGAGGTCTAATAGGACCAGAACAGAGGAGCAACCTCTGTCCCGAGCCCTCCAGAGATCATCTACCAACATGACACATGGCGCACACATACCTGCTTATTGACTACAACGTATTTTTGTTTCTCAGGCTTTCCCATTTGGGATTACCTCTTCAGGAAAAAAAAAGTTTTGACAGTTTGCATATTGGTAAAACATTGCCAGCTTTTAATGAGCACACATTAGGGAAAGAAAGCAATCATTTCTTATAATTTATTCATTTCTGTTCTTGCCAAACGCCTCTTCTTTTTGATGGATCTTTGATTCCGTATTGCTCCAGGCAATGCCATTTCCTGTGCAGTCCCATCACTCAAGGGATGAATACTGCAATTTGAGGCAAAGTTACAGGCCTTCACTAGTAAGCTTGGCTCCTTAGAAGGCTCTCCTAATTTTAAGAAGAAATTGGAACTGAGATGAGTTCCAGTGCCTTCTTTAAAAAATTCCCAAATGTGCATCTCAACACTCATCATTTGGAAAAATAATTTTTAAAAATTGTTTGTTTTTCTGCCTTGGAGTCAGTGTTGGCTTGTGGGTTAGTCCCTGCAGTTTTCTTGGCAAGGTTTCAGATGTGGTTTGCCCATGCCTGATTCATAGAACTGTGAGAGAGTGACTGGCCCAAGGTCATCCAGCTGGATTTGTGTCCAAGGCAGGACTAGAATTCATGACCTTGGGTTGCTAGCTTGATGCCTTAATTACTACAACCAAACTGTTCAAATAAGGATTATAAGCTTTCTTTTTTTTTTTTACTCTAGCTCCCACCCATGAGCCTCATGGTTCCTGTATTTTCTAT